CTGTCTAAAATTGTTTACTTAAAATAATGTTTCCAAAATCTTATCAGTGGTTCATCAAGTCGTAACAGGGTGAAAGGCACTTCTGCCGTCGCCTGACGGGATCTGTTTCACTTTTACTGGCACTATGCAACTTCGGGGTTCGGGTAGGAACCCGACCACAAAAAGAACTACAAAATTCGACTGCTTTACATCAAGCACTCCAATAGTCATTATTTCGTTTTTCTTCGTTTCTGATGTCGCAATACATCATCCTTTCATGAAATCATGTAACATACATTATTCATTCTAAAGCCGGTGCTGGATAAACAGCGAGCGTGCGTACGACGGTATAGGCTAAATTATTTACGACAGCGGCAATGGACAATTTCGTTTCCAACCAGTAGGGCGACCGAAGAGGAAAAGTTACTTGGTGTTACTTTAAACCATAGAAAAGCATTGAAAGTTTTTCAGGAGTTTTCAGCCGTTTTATTTTGATATAACAATAACAATTTGCATGCAGTCACTTCAAACATCATCAAAACATCATTCAATGTAAATTGTGATAATCGTAATTAATAAATCACAATTATAATTTCAAGGCAATAATCGACAATTATGATTTGTGCAGCCCTACATATAATAAAGATCAATAGGGTCAGAAACATCATTGGACCCCATTTACTTTAACTGTATGGACAAAAAAGTTACTGAGCAAACGATAACATAATTTCCATTTTTGTCTGATTAAAATAACAGCAAACTCCTCAATGAGTCTTAAAGTATCATTCATGTTTGTACTACAAATTACAGTGCATTAGGTCTTTTCACATGACTAGTGTAAAGGCTTCAACACATTGTTCAACAGTATTCATATATTAGATAACATCTCAAAAGGGAGATTTTACGAGGTTTAGGTAGCAGGGAAGTGTGAAGTATGGACAGTAAACAGTGAAAACATGTACTGGAGCTTAAAAGCCTGGCAAATGCGGTGCAAAATGATAAAACGGAGCCGTCAATTCTAGTAGATTTTTTACTGCGGATGCTCTTGGTGAACTGCCGTCTCGGGACGGTCTTGGGAACAATAAAATAAATGAAAAATGAACAATAGGGGATTATGAGGCATTCGAGAGCTCTTTACGTTTTTAAACATTTCTTGTTGCTCTAAAAAAAGAAATTATTTGTGGAAAATCTCAAAGTTAACTCGTCTTTCAGAAGACAGACTGTACATATCATGTGCAAATTGTTTAGCAATTACTGGCTGATAAAATGGGTCAAAACTGAATGATTTGAAAGCTCTTCTGTTAATTAAAGTCCAACTGTGGTGAAAATCAAGCTTTTAATGTTGTTATTAATAATCTTTAAGACAAACTATGCACAAATTCATGTCAACACCAATGCTAAAATTATTATTAAAACTGCAGTGAACCAAAAACGAGGCATATACAGTACATACATTTTGGTAAGTTACTGTATCTTTCAACACACGTTACACACCTGTTGGTCATTCGTGTATACTATTAACTAAGCTAGTGAAGAGGTGGTCGGTTCATGTGCCGTTTGAGCGATCTGTCAAATTTAAAAGCGCCAAAATAACAATTATTGTTAGAATTTCAGAATAAAATTGATCTGAGAACTGAGAATTTGTCTTCACTGTATTGTAAGAAATTATAGTCTGCTCCGACCAAACATCCACTCCAATATATATATACAGTATATATATATATATAGAAATGTTCCTTCCCTTAAAAGCGTATTTATCATAGAATCAATTCCTTACAATCTCAGTAATAATGTAAATAGTGACACAGAGTCACGTATTCACCTATAGTGTGGGAGTGACAGCGGGTATTCGGGAACCATCTTGATTAGGGGGCTTCAAATAGATGTTATCACCTTAAACATTTGGCCATTCTTATTCGAAAGAAGATCAAAGATGTGGGCACAGAGGGACCACTTTTATTGTTCTCCTCAATTTACATTTAAGACAGAGCTTCAGCTCCATGCTAGGAGAGATAACATACAGACATGATTTAATGAGAAATTTGATGTATAAATGTAATTGTCGGCTGGATAATTCACAGAATGCTATTATTATGCTGTTGTCAAACCCTAGGCAAACTGTGATGCGATACCAGTCATGTATGAGAAAGAATTGGCATTATTGTCTATTTTAAATGTTTAAATGTTATGTGATTTTGTGTAGGTTGTTGAGACATTGAGTCTGGAAATAAAGTTCAATTGAATTGTAATAGTTTTGGCAGCATATTAAAAGCCGATAACTACGCCTTTTTGACAGATTTCTAAAAATAAAAAATAAAAAAATGCACAGGTATCAAACATCAGCTGAAATAATCAAACTCAAAATGGGACAAAGAGAGCAAACTCGTTGTTCACCACACACTCGCTTCCATTCCCCTGACACACACCTTTCATAGACGAACACTTTGCAGCATGACGCGATCGTGGCCTTTGTGTGTGCCGCCCACATAGACGGTTGGAGAAGATAGAAAAGCCTGTCAGAGAGCTCACGACTGCATTATCACCAGCCAGTCAACCATGTCAACCAAAGTCGTTCATGACAGCTTCACTTCACAGCACCTGATTATTAACTGTTTACATCTCAAACAGCACTATATCTGCAGGAACAAGCCTCACACACACACACTCCTGGGCAAAACTGACTTAACCACAACTTATTAGTCAGGAAATTAGCTTCAAAAAGCCTCAGAAAAACATCAAAGACTGAATGAATGGGACAGAATATGGGAAGTGATATGGGGAGTGATGAAACACGAGTTGCATGGTGTCAATCACCTAAGGATAAAAAATTGCCTTTAATTAGCACCAGAAATGTTTTATTTAGTTGTATGTAAGCTCATTTTTGCAACACAACATTTTATCACTTTTCCTGATTAATATTGACATGCGTCTTTTGTTGATTGATCAAGCAGACTTGCTAGAAGATTATATCTTTAAAGAACTCTTATAAGTTTGTAAAGGTCCCTTATTATACCCCTTGTCACAAGATAAGTCTCTGATGTCCCCAGAATGTGTATGTGAAGTTTCAGCTCAAAATACCCAACAGATAAAAAGATCCTTATTACAGTCTATGCGACCAACGGCACTTCAGGTGTCTGATAACAGCCCAAAACGTCCTGCCTCCAGCACAACACACACTCCAACACAAACTGCACATAAATATAAAAAACAAAAACAGTTTTATCTGCTCAAGCTCGTCAAAAACGTGAATCTGATCGACTCCGGACGAAAACGCGGATCAACAGTGGCAACATATTAGTAAACTCTAGTGAAATAGCAAGGTAAACTACATGAAACATGAAATTGATACAAAAGACTGTTCCAGGATAACAAAAATCTGTGCTTTAGGACGAAACTTATTTTATTTACTAGATCTACTGACTAACGTCGTCACCCCACTATTGTTTATATACATTTCCAGACACGTTTAGTACAGTAATGGTACTTTATACGATCTTACTGTGACACTGAAATTGTTCACTAGTCTAGTTCACTAACTGTTTTTCGTTATCATATTATACATTCACCTATGTTGACATTGCTGATTGTGAAAGGGACACGAATAGTTAGTGAAATGGCTTAGGCCGCGTTTTTCCACACCCCCTGGCGTATGTTTTCAATTGTTTTCAATGGGAGCGCCGCGTTTTTTAAACACCATGAGCGTAACGAGGCGCTGAGCGTTTTTTTCACGCTGAAGCGCCGAGCGCCCGGTCGCTGGGAGTTGAAAAATGTTCAACTTTGGATAAAACGCAGCGCTCATCACTGTCACTTTTTACCCAGCCGTCCAATCACAGTGGAGGAGGGGCGGGACTAATACCACACCGACCAACTGTCACAACATTCAAACTGCTGCGGATATTCTGTATCATAGCAACGAAACGCCTCAACGGAAAAAAACGCTGCGCTGACAAAACGCTCTCAAGCGCCCAAAGCACGGCGTCTTCAGCAGAGCGTCTAGCATTTTCAGCTGGCTAAAAACGCTTTGGTGGACACACGGCCTTATGCTACATAACATCACGTCGGCTAAATGCAGTTTATTGTAACATTATCATGGTACGAGCACAGAGCATTAGTTCAACGCCAAGCTGATAAAAGTAGGCTATTATTGTAACTGAGTTTGTACATGTACATGAGTTTCCAGCATGTTGTGAGATGCTTTCACCATTGCGTTGAAAGTCTCCGTGTGGCCTGTAGTGAATTCTCGCTCTTGACATCGAGCACGCACAAGCATACGAGCACGAGATCTCTTCTAGATGCCGCTAAAAACCGCATACACTCTTAGAAGAAATGGTTCTATTTAGAACCAGAAATGGTTCCATCTCCTGCTTCATATATGGAACTCCAAAATGGTTCTATATAGAACCATTTTTTTTTGGTAAAAGGTTCTATTGGCCAAGTATGGAACCCAGGGTTCTATATAGAACCCAGAGGAACCCTTTTTTAAAGAGTCTATAGAACCTTTTAGGGGTTCCAAATATGTAGCGCTGATAGAACCTTTTAAGGTTCTATATAGACCTTTTTCTTCTAAGAGTGTAAAGCACCTTTAAATAAAATATCTTTCGAATTTTACAGATAGTAATACTCTAACAACAACATTACACTCTAACTAAAGTTTGAATCATGGGATCACGAAGAACGGGACCTTTAAGTAAGCAATGTGACTAAAATAAAAACTCAATGGTCAAGCATGTCTTTTTATTTTCGTTTACGCAATACCAGTCCTCAACCACACAGAAATCTGTTTTGCTCAAATCAATGTTCTCTTTTTAGTTCTCCTTCCCTTTTCACTTTGCATTTTTTTCTCACACTTGTGCCTGCAAACACCCACAAGTGTACTCACACACGCACACAGTTTCCCATCTGCATCTCTTCCTGTCGTGCCGTGGCTGAAACGGCCACTGCAAACACTCCTCACACACTCGCACGACCCAATCATGTCGTTCTTTTGTCTCTCTTTCGCCATTGTTCCCTCGTTTCCTTACCTGAGGTGCAGGCGGCGAGAGCGCTGGTTTTCCAGCTCTTTCTCCGTGTCACGCGTGACCAGGTCAAGGGCCCTCGTGCTGGAAACACCACAGAGAGAATGGCACAATAATTATTACGTTCAGTTTTTTTTCTTATATATACACATGGAACATTATTGCTTGTGTGGAAACATTTCACTTGTTGATTTTCCAAATATAAAAAGCCTTTGTTTTTTTCCTCAATAAAAGTTCAATGGCAGGAGCGCAGCCCAGCCACAGAGCAGGAGGGTTGCGTTACGCGCTGTGTGTGTGGAGTGTGTGTGCCCAAATGAAACACAGACTTCTGTAGGGCATATATAAAAAGAGGCTTTCTGTGGATGTCACACAGAAATGGGGGCAATAGCAACCTGATACATCACTGGGAGCGTCATTGTGTTTGCGTGTGTGTGAGAGCGCTATTGTTTGTGTTTGTGCTGGTAAAAGATATGGGTATGAATAAATTTAGACCTTCAGAAGATTCCCAGCTGCAGATTCTTGGGTTCTTGTGGCAAAGTCGTGTATTTCGTTCACACCATCTTTGTGTGTGTGAGAGAAATCCGAACGCAAAACTTCAATGGATCAGTTTCCCCTTCAATCAGTAGCTGAACTCAGAAAGGCCTAGTGTGTGTTTAGACCGCTTCTGGTGTGCAGCAGCTGTTCAATTGCATTTGGAAAAAAGAAAATTAACAGCCCTCTAGAGAGATTTATTGATTATTTATTCTTCTTATTAAAATTGATTTGCCCTTCAAACTTCTCTGGTTTTAAATTGAATTATCAGTGCTGTTCTTGAAAGCATTACACATCCTGACTGTTGAAATGTGGTTGATCGCCACAAAAATATCAAGCAGCAACTGTTTTCAACATTGATAATAAACGGTAACACTTTATTGTCCTTGTTACATATGTCACATGTACTTACCATAGTGATCACAGTAAATTATGCAAAATTACATTCAATCCTACCCTGAACATATAGCAAGTACATGTTGTTAATTAATATTACTCAGTACTTAAATGTATAATTAAACTGTAACAACGATACCTTAACCTAATACACACGTTAGAATGATTTCTGAAGGATCATGTGACACTGTTGCCATCATTACATTTTTGCCAAATTACAAACATTTATTTAGAATTGTAACATTTCACAATATTTGAGTTTTTACTGTGTTTGATCAAATAAATGCAACCATTTTCAGCATGACTGACTTAGTGAGGATTCAAAATCTTATGAAAGGTAGTATGCTTCTTTATATTATCGCACAAACACACACACACACACATATATCTAAAATCAAGAATTAGTTATGAACCCGTTAAAGACACAATCTCAATAGCACTAAAGTGAAGGAAAATGACAGGATACCATAAAGGGATGATATAGAAGGGAATTCACTAACACACACACACAGAGAGAGAGAGAGAGAGAGAGAGAGAGAGAGAGAGAGAGAGAGAGAGAGAGAGAGAGAGAGAGAGAGAGAGAGAGAGAGAGAGAGAGAGAGAGAGAGAGAGAGAGAGAGAGAGAGAGAGAGAGAGAAAACAACAAACAAGCAAGGTTTTATGAAAACTCAAATAAAATACCTAAAAACAAACACTACTCTATTAAAAGTTCTCCTAATGGATATACTCTGTTGTTATGGATAATATTAAATTACCAGATCAATTTAATTGTATTATTTTTTTATTCTTCTTATTATAGTGCGTGTATGGGAATCGAAAGTGAATAAGTGGCAAAAACTGCTTCCAGATTGACATTCTTACCCTGCACTCTTAGAAGAAAAGGTTCTATATAGAATATAGAACCTTAAAAGGTTCTATTAGCGCTACGTATTTGGAACCCCTAAAAGGTTCTATACACTCTTGAAAAAAGGGTTCTGTATAGAACCCTGGGGTTCCATACTTGGCCAATAGAACCTTTTACCAAAAAATGGTTCTATATAGAACCATTTTGGAGTTCCATATATGAAGCGGGGGATGGAACCATTTCTGGTTCTAAATAGAACCATTTCTTCTAAGAGTGTGACATATCTGATATACGGTCTCTGCTCATACTTCAAAAAAACCCACAAAGGAAATGAAAGACGAGGCTTTTTTGACTCTTAATTTTTCCCTTAACAAATCATTCTCAAGAGTGAGGATGAACTTTTCTCACTTCAGCCGTCATGACGATCCAGCCATGCTAAAATATATAGCGTGGCCACAGACGGCACAGCACTGTCTGTAAAATTACACACGCTACGGTCTCGTCAGGACATGAGAGACCTGCTCCAGATTCTTCATCACTTATTCAAGGGCATTGAGAGAGAGCAACACGAAACATTATATTCATCTCCAGACGTCTCTGTTATTTGCGTTGTGCCTTCCCACCATCGCATCCACAAAGGTAAATAACGGGGCTTATGGGTATTTAGAAAGCTTACAGACTACTTCATAAATCCATACATTAAGCTTGTCAAGCGGTCCTGTTGCATCATGGGTAAATAGAAGATCTTTTGGTCCTCTTGTTTCAAAGCGAGGTTTAATGAGACACAGTTCAATAGCGCACAATGTTTGGTTCATTACATCAGAATTAGAGCAAAGCGTCAGCTGCCAGCTGTGTGTGTGTGTACCAACTAAGAGTCGTGATAATGGGCTACAAATCCCAGACTAAAGACGACTCTGCTGTTCTCTCGTGTGTGTGTAGGAGGCTGAAAGAATCGTGATAACAGATAGCAACTGGCTGTGCGTGAGCGAGCCGCTGAACTGACCTGCTCTTTCTATTAATGTGTGATTTACTGGAAGGCTGAGTGCACGTGTGTTTCCGCAGTGTGCATGCAATGGTGAATCACTGTAATGATTTTATGCTACTTATAGACATTTATGTCACTGGCTTCGATCCAATAGCGAGTGGGCTGCTTGCCGTCTACTGCCTACATCGGCAGCTGCTGTCTAAGCTGGAATGAAACCTCAAAAGTGAGTGATTTTGAACACTCTTCGTAAAGTAAGCTCCTCATATGAAGCACACAGACGAATCAACAATTTTTACAGATGATGTAAAATAAAACATAAAATGCATAGCTTTCAAATATTCAGCCAGCATTTTTGATCCTTTTCACAGAAGTTTCATGGCCCACAGAATATTTTGTTGTAGGAATATCTGAACATGCAATATAGAAAGAAGAGATTCTCTGATTTTTTTTATGTACTTCTCAAGAATAAACTAAAAAATATTTATAAAATAATGTATATTGACAGTATATTTGGCCTTTACTTGTACTCAATCTTTGGTAACACTTTATTTTGATGAACATTCTGGTGTTGACTATAAGTAACTTTGCAACTACATGTCAACTAACTCTCATTAGTGTACCAGTACAAATAAACTTTTTATTGTGATGGTCCTCCAACAGACTATTCTACTGACTATGACTATTATTGACTATTGCATTAATTGACTATTAATAAAATGGACTATTGCAACTACGTCAACTTATTCGAACCTTAACCCAACCAGTCTACTAGTACTCTACTAACACTCTAGTGAGAGTTAGTAGGTGCAACATTACTTATAGTCAACAGAGTGTGTTAAAGGGCCCATCAAAATAAAGTGAAACCCAATCTTTTGATGGAGATTTACTTAGTAGGCTTAGTTTCTTTGTGTTTTAGTTCTGTTCCTGTTTGCCCTATAATTTGACCCAGTTTCCAAGTGTGTTTGATTAATGATTGCGTTCACCCGTCATTTGTTAATGACCCCATTTAGTCAGTAGCTGCGTCCCAATTCGCATACTATCCGTCCTAAAGAGACCTGGATGGTCTACGGTCAGAATCTGAAGTGCGGGTCGATGCACACTCCAACAGACGATATTACCCACAACCCATCGTGCGTTGGACAAAGATTCGATTAGAACTACAAACACGAGTGAAAGGTGTTAAAAAACTACAGACATGGAGGACGCGCGAGCCCGGCGGTTGTGTAGAGAGGTTTGAGCGATTAACTATCATTATCTAACCATACGAAAATGTATTTATTCAATGTTGTCTACATTATTATATTGTATCTGCAGCAGCACTGTGAACTTTATTAAAGATACGTGTACAGCCATTAACTTAAAATGCATCGTTACATTCAAATTGCAAATTCGACCCACGACTGGCAGACCAACGTGCGACAACATTTCCCTTCGAAATGGTAATAAATTTTAGATTGAAAATTAGAATATTAAAATATTAGATTGAACGGAGGATATTAAGGCCATGTTTATATCAGAACGATTCCGGGTGAAAACGTAAAAAAACATTTTTTCTGATGTGTCTTTTCGTTTAAACGGCGACGGCGTTTTTGGGGAAACCACCCTCCAGAGTGGAAATCTTAAAAACGCTCCACCGTCGCGTTCCCGTCTAAATGGCAAAAGCGCAAATCTGCTCACGGCGGCTCTCGTCGCGTACGCGTTTACGTCAGTACAGGAAAATAATGACCAACATGTCGGATTATTTCCATACGTCGGACCTTCAAGTTGCCCTAACATACAAGAGTCTTTTCTGCAGTTGTACGAATTATTCTCACATAGTATTGAAGGTTGTACACAGGCGCGCGGACTTAGTGTTTTTGTGTGGCAATGCTTCACATCGCCACCTAGCTGCCTGGAGTTCATACAACATTGAAATTTACACACTTTTGTGTCACCATATACACGCAGATTTCACAACCATTTCGCTCGTCTCGACGCGGAATAAAAAGTGAAAACACAACGCCACTTTTGCGTTTTCTCTTCGGATCGTTTCCGTGTAAACATAGCCTAACTGTGACGAGATGATTGACAGGACAGTTTACGGCGATGGGATGCACGCGACAGATCTGTCCCTTAAAGATGACGAAGTAGTATGTCCCAAAAGCTTGCCTACTCTTTTGTTACACACTCAAAAGTATGTACTTTTTCCTTCACAAAAAGAGTACATACTTTTAGGGCGTACACTGAAAAAAATAACATGCTTTATCTAATCAATAAAATTGTGGCAACATATTACAAGCAATATTATTAATTAAATTGTACAAATTAGAATTAATCAGAATGTTAATT